ATGTTCTTATCGCCTTTCTTTTATTTCAACGTTAAGAAAGTATATTTAACACATTGTACACATTACATATCGTACCCAGCCCAGTTACACTAAAGCAGTGAAACGGAAATTCAGTTTTAAGATTGACACTGAATTGCAACGTACTTCTACGTGAAAGTCCAAGTAGTTTTTCACATTTTATGTATCCTTTTGTTAGAATGGTGTAATCAAACGCTCAGCTGCCCCCATAAACCCCTACTCGCGAAATGGCGGAGTTGACAGAGACAGCCGCCATCTTGGGCCCGCTTCAGATTTTCAGATATTAATATCTAGAGTTCAGATTACCCAATATTCAAACAACTTATATAGTAAACATCAATAGAAGGGTCTCTATTATCATTCCAAAAATAAATGAAAGATATTGAAAAACAAAAAAGTTAGAAAATACACTTTTTTTCAATTCGCATCTCCTAACGACAGGAAGTATTGACGACGAACGAAAGATCGCGTCCTGGTTAGTATCTATCACGATCTATAATCCCTGAAAGTTTCACATTGATATCTTTTACCGTTCTTGAGATTAACCACAGACAAAATGTCATTTTAAAATCAGGAAATGTCCCCTAACTTGGCACCAGAAAGGAATTTTCAAAAAATCGCTCAGATAGATGAAGTTCATGTTACGACACATCTTCTCTGAAAAATTCATGTAATTCCATCCAGTAGTCTTCGAGAAATCGCGTGCACAAAATTAGAAAGTCAAAAAAATAATAAGAATAATAATAATAATAACTAGATACGATCTCGTTGCGAGCAACGAGAGGTCTTCCGTCCGATTCAGGAAAAAAAAAACCTCATAAAATTAAGCTGAAAAGTGATTCAAAATTTGGGTCACAAGGAGGATTGAACTCAGGTCGCCAACGTGAATGCACTTTTTTTTCTCTTTTATCCCTAACGCGCATACCATTATGCTATAATTTGGAGCACTGCTCTAAATATACTTTTGTATACTTTTGCAACAGTACATTTGTATAAGAATTATAAAAGGCGGACCACTATTCATAATTTCGCGCTAAACGCCACGAATAAATATTCGCGCCTTTTCTTTGGACTGATCTATTAAATAGGTGTGATAGCTTCAATGAAATTAAATAAATAAAACGTTCTTATGGCCTTTATTTTATTTCGACGTTAAGAAAGTATATTTAACACATTGTACACATTACATATCGTATCTAGCCCAGTTACACTAAAGCAGTGAAACAAGATTGACATTCAATTGCAACGTACCACTACGTGAAAGTCCAGGTAATTTTTCACATTTTATGTATCCTTATGTCAGAATGGTTCAATCAAACGCTCAGCTGCCTCCATAAACCCCTACTCGCGAAATGGCGGAGTAGACAGAGACAGCCGCCATCTTGGGCCCGCTTCAGATTTTCAAATATTAATATCTAGAGTTCAGATTAACCAATACTAAAACAACTTATATAGTAAGCATCAATGGAAAGGTCACTATTAATATTCCAAAAATAAATGAAAAATATTGAAGAACAAAAAAGTTAGAAAATGCACTTTTTTAAATTCGCATCTCCTAACGACAGGAAGTATTGACGACGAACAAAAGGTCGCGTCCTGGATAGTGAATATCACGATCTATAATCCCTGAAAGTTTCATGTTGATATCTTCTACCTCTAACGTTCTTGAGATTAACCGTAGACAAAATGTCATTTTAAATTCAGAAAATGTCCCGTAACTTGGCACCAGAAAAGAATTTTCAAAAAATCTCTCGGAAAAAATAACTTCAGATAACAACACAATAATTTCTGTAAATTTCATGAAAATCCACCCAGTAGTCTTCGAGAAATCGCGTGCACAAAATTTAGTGTACGGAAAAATAATAATAATAATAAGAAGAAGAAGAAACAATAGAATCACTATAAGGTCTTCCGTGAAGACGAAAGACCTTAATAAGAAACAGTAGAATCACTATAAGGTCTTCCGTGAAGACGGAAGACCTTAATAAGAAACAATAGAATCACTATAAGGTCTTCCGTGAAGACGGAAGACCTTAATAATAATAAGAAACAGTAGAATAACTATATGGTCTTCCGTGAAGACGGAAGACCTTAATAATAATAAGAAGAAGAAACAGTAGAATCACTATAAGGTCTTCCGTGAAGACGGAAGACCTTAATAATAAGAAACAATAGAATAACTATAAGGTCTTCCGTTAAGACGGAAGACCTTAATAATAATAAGAAACAGTAGAATCACTATAAGGTCTTCCGTGAAGACGGAAAACCTTAACAATAGAATCACTATAAGGTCTTCCGTGAAGACGGAAGACCTTAATAAGAAACAGAGTAAAAACAATATGTTCCCCAACTTCGTTTGGGGAACATAATAATAACTAGATGAAACTCGTTGCGAGCAACGAGAGGTCTTCCGTCCGATTACGGAAAGAAAACGTAAAATCGATTTGAAAAGTAAAAAAAAAGATTTGCACACAAGGGGGATTGAACCAAAGTCGCCACATGAAATTCCAACGCACTAAATATTACGCTATCGGGACCTCTACTCTAAATCTACTTGTATATATCAATGATACAGTGCTTCTCTCTTAAAATTATGAAAGGCGGGTCACTATTCAAATTTTAGCGCCAAACGCCATGAGTTAATCTTCGCCCCTTTTCTTTGGAATGTTCTATTAAATAGGAGTGATAGCTTTAATGAAATTAAAAGAAAAGAACGTTCTTATAGCCTAAGATTCAAGTTTAGAAAGTATGTATAACACATTTTACAAATTCCATATTGTACATATGCATGTAACACTAAAGCGGTGAAACGGTTATGATTTTTTTTAATTTCCTGTTTATCCTCAAAGTGAACTATCCCGAATAGTTAATCGAAAAAGGTTGAAAAGTTTCGCCGGAAAACATGGCTCGCCCTACGACTGTCAGGAATCCGATATCGTTTATGCTCAATAACTTGAATCAGGTCTTTGAGACAAGAATGCTAAAATAAACTCCATGAAGCGATCTTTAAAAAAAACGTTTTCTTATTTTTGTCTAATTTATTAGTTTAATATGACACAAGTGTGCATAGGAAAAACAGTGGTTAATATTTATATTGACAAAATTAATTGATATTCTTTTTTAAGAAAGCATTACTTATAAGTATGATTTAAGATCTGTTTTTCGGCGATGCACAAGAGATATTAGGTATCGAATTTCATTTGCACATTTAGTCTTTTCTTTTTCTACTTTGAAAACCAGCCAAAACCAATTATAGAAGACGTTAGTTTGACACAGAACTGCAACATAAATACGACGTGACAATCCAAGTATTCCTTTGCCTTTCATTTATTCTCATGTTACTTTCGTTCAAACAAACGCTCGACTGCCTCCGTAAACACCTATTGCGAAATGTCGGCGTTGACAGAAACAGCCGCCATTTTGGACCCGCTTCAGATTTCTGAATGCTAATATCTAGAGTTTAGACTTATCACAATTCAAACAAATTATATAGTAAGCATGATTAGAAGGGTTTCTATGAACAAGCCGAAAATAAATGAAAAATACTGAAAAAAAAAAATTAATAAAATACGATTCTTTTAAATTTGCATCTCGTAACGACCGGAAGTACTGACGACGCACGAAAAGGTGATTCTGCAAACCACAAAGTCATGATCTATCATCTCCAAGAAGTTTCCAGTTCATATCCTAAACCGTTTTGGATAAAAAGGGGCGACAAAATTGCATTTTAAAATCAGGAAATTGTCTATAACTTAGCACCAGAAGCGAATTTTCCAAATTTTGCATCAGAAGTAACAACTTCATATTATAACTCATATTTTGTGAAAGTTTCATGAAAAACCGCTGAATAGTTTTCGAGAAATCGCCTGCACAAAATTTTGTCAAAAAAAGAATAATAATAATAACTAGATATGAAACTCGTTGCGAGCAACGAGAGGTCTTCCGTCCGATTCTGAAATAAAAAACGAAAAATCTAGCAGAAAAAGTGATAAAAAAAAATCGGACATTCGGGGGAGCGAACCCGGGTCGCCCGTGTGACAATCCAACGCGCTAACCATTCGGCCATTGAAAACACCGCTTCAAATTTTTAAATGCTAATATCTCGAGATTGCCTTTTTTGATTCTAAAAGAAATTACATATTACGCATTCGCAAACAAGTCTCTATTTAGATTAAAAACACCAAAGAAAAATATTGAAAAACAAAAAAATTGAAAAATTGCATTTTTAAAATATACTTCCGGCAGAAACCGGAAGTGCTTACGACGTACGAAAAGGCGATTCTGCAAACCAGAAAGTCTTGATCCATCATCTCCAATAAGTCTCCAGTTCATATCCTCAGCCATTTTCGATAAAAAGGGGCGACAAAATTGCATTTTAAAATCATGAAATCGTCCATAAGTTGGCACCGAAACCGAATTTTCCAAATTTTTCTTCGGTTGTAACAACTTCATTTAATGACACATATTTTGTGAAAGTTTCATTGAAAATCGCTGAATAGTTTTCGAGAAATCGCGTGCACAAATTTTTGTCTAAAAAATAATAATAATAAATAAGAAACAGTAGAATCACTTTAAAATCTTCCGTGATGACGGAAGATTTTAATAAGAAACAATATAATCACTATAAGGTCTTCCGTGAAGACGGAAGACCTGAATAAGAAACCGAGTAAAAACAATATGTTCCCAAACTCCGTTTGGGGAACATAATAATAAGAAACAGAGTAAAAACAATATGTTCCCCAACTTCGTTTGGGGAACATAATTAGCGTAACGTCAGACTGGTCCGTGCGCACAATCTGCGATCTTTAAAGACCCCGATTTTTACAAAAATATTAAGTTTCATCTATAAAAATTAAATCATTCTGACTTATTTTTTCATGAGAAATATTTTGATATACAATAGATGCATATAGAACCATTTATCTTAACAAAAACGTTATTGTCCACGAACTTTTTGGACAACCCTCGTACAACACGTATAGGAGTATCTGAATTTCGTATGAGTCTGTTTTACCATTACATGGAAATATTTTCCACCGGCGCACTTCACTTTGTTCCGTTAATTATCCTGTCTGTGGTCAATGTATACTTGGTAATGAAACTTCAGTCTTCGGGAAAAGTTAGAAAAATGAATTCCAACACATATCATGAAATCGAGTTGCGGAGGTCGCAGAGGATTTTCACAGTAACTCTCGTCAGTATCGTCATCTTCTCGATTATGTTTATACTTCCGGCATCCATTGTCGACATTTTTTGGTACGTTGATGAAAACTTTCCACATGTAAGAAGCATGAGAAACATTTCAAATCTATTGCTGTGGTGCAATCTTTCCATCAACTGCTTTTTATACTGTATATTTAATAGACAGTATCTTCAAGTGTTTAAGTATGTAGTAGACAGAGGATGTGACCGAGTAAGACGCTCACCTTCAAGGTCCACAGAAATACAAATGGCATAAAGAGAATCAAAGGAACTAATTACACATTTTACTATAAACTTTTTCCCGCTTTGCTGGACATGGCAAGGAACACAAGGCGGCTTTGACCCGTCGAGAGGGAATGCTTTCTTGTCCTTGACACCCGATTCCCACCTTTGATGTTTTTACATCCGCGTTTGCTCTATTCCTGATTTGTTTTGTTACTTTTTTAGCTTGATTGTAGGCAGCGGCTGTGTCAACATCCATCTTCTTAACCCAATAAAGATACAATAACACTCACCTTTTGCAAAATAATTTATGTGGCGGCCGCCAGATAAAATATTTTACTGTTTTTTTATTACCCTGAAGAATAAAATTGCTGAATGAATTATTTAAACACGTTTTGCGTCTCTCCATTTTGAACAGCTTACTTCCAAGTTAAATATACCCAAGAAATGGCGAGCATGGAAAAATCACATCTAAATTCTATTCTGCAGAAGTACTTACAGCAACCCGTACTCCAGCTTGCTAGCGTACTTTTGAGTTGGCGCCACGTATAAAGGAGGCTTGAACGTTAACAGAGGCTCTTATTTGTAAGAATCAGCAAATTCCGTATATACACTCACAGTACATGTAGTAGATGAACTGTTTATAAGATCAAATCTGATGCTAACTCCATGTACTACATGTATGTATCTTAAATCTAAAAGACAGATTAT